AATAGTGATTTTGCCTACCCTCATCACTGTCCAAAATTGATCGCACGGTACGATCGTCCAGTAGTGTTTCATTTTTCATTTTTTTTTCTAAACATGGGAATGACCTGAAATTTGGAGCGTGTGTTCATTAAAAATACACGAATCTATGAAAAATATCAAAAAATATTTGACATGAAAAAAATTGACCAAAATACCTCCGAAACTTATTTTGGTCAATATTATTTTTGCGAATTATTTTTTTTATATTTTTATTAAGTGCGTATCACTATGATGTACATACGTTCCAAATTTTAGATCATTTAGATTTGTAAAAAAACAATGAAAAATTGAATACTATCGGACAATCGTGACCGTGCGATAAACTTTAGATGGTGATGACCATCCAACCTTCATCGCATGGTCATAGTTGTCCGGTAGTGTTTCAATTTTCATTTTTTTTAATAATCGAAATGATCTGAAATTTGGAGCGTGTGTACATCTTAGTGAGGCACACCTAATAATAATTTGAAAACAATAATGCATAAAATATAAATTGACCAAAATACCCCTATAAATTTTCGGGGGTATTTTGTTAAATTATATGTTTTAATTATTTTTGTTACATTTTTATTATGTGCGCCTCACTAAGATGTACACACGCTCCAAATTTCAGATAATTTCGATTAGTAAAAAAAATGAAAATTGAAACACTACCGGACAACTATGACTATGAGATGAAGTTTGGATGGTCATCACCGTCCAAAGTTCATCGCATGGTCACGATTGTCTGATAGTATTCCATTTTTTATTTATTTTTATAAATCTAAATGATTTGAAATTTGGAACGTGTGAACATAAAAAATAGGCAAATCTACGAAAAATATCAAAACCTATTTTACATGAAAATTGATCAAAATACCCCCGAAAAGTTTCTATAGTACTTTGGTCAAATATTTTTCGCAAATGATTTTTTTTATATTTTTATTACGTGCGCCTCACTATGATGTACACACACTCCAAATTTCAAGTCATTCTGATTTATAGAAAAAAAAAATAAAAAACAAAATACTACCGAACAATCGTGACCGTGCGATGAACTTTGACGGTGAAGGTAGGAAAAATCAATGTTCATTTTTTACTATAGGTGTTGGAAGGCTCTTTTATATATATATATATGAAAAATGTTCATGTGAGCTAGTGGGCTCATAAGTAAAAATGAGCCCAACGGCTCAGATTGAATGTGGGCCAATCTAATGATCACAGATACCTGATAGTGTTTGAATTTTAATTTTTTTTTGTACAAATCCAAATTCTTTGAAATATTAGGCGTGTGTTCTTCTTATCAAGCCGCACCTAATAAAAATATAAAAATAATAATCTGTAAAATTAAATTTACCAAAATACCTCAGAAGCTTTACTGAGGTATTTTGGTCATTTTTCATGTAAAATATTTTTTTAATATTCACCTATTTTTTATGAACACACGCCTAAACTTTCAAGTAATTTGGATTTGTGAAAAAAAAATTAAAATTCAAATACTATCATGCATCCGTGATCGTCAGATCGGCTCAGATTCAATCTGGGCCATTGTGCTCATTTTTACTTGTGAGCCCAATGGCTCGCGAGATAATTTTC